TCCTCCAAAGGCCCCAGTGTGTGTTGTTCCCCTCTGTGTGTCCATGTGTTCTTATCATTTAGCTCCCACTTGTAAGTGAGAACATGCGGTATTTGGTTATCTGTTCCTGTGTTACTTTGCCAAACATAATGGCCTCCGGCTCCATCCATGTCCCTGCAAAGGACATGATCTCATTCTTTTTTATGACTGCATAGTATTCCATGGTGTATATGTACTACATTTTCTTTGTATAGTTTTTCATTGATGGGCGTTGGGTTGATACCATGTCTTTGCTATTGTGAATAGCATTGCAATGAGCATATGCGAGCATGTTTCTTTATAATAGAATGATTTATATTCCTTTGGGTATATATCCAGTAATGGGATTGCTGAGTCAAATGGTGTTTGTGTCTATAGGTCTTTGAGGAATCACCACACTGTCTTCCACAATGGCGTAAAGTTAATTTACACTCCCACCAGCAGTGTAAAAGTGTTCCTTTTCCTCCACAACCTTGCTAGCATCTGTTATCATTTGACTTTTTAATAATAGCCATTCTGACTGATGTTGGATGATATCTCATCTTGTTTTGATTTGCATTTCTCTAATGATCATTGATGTTGAGCCATTTTTCATATGATTGTTGGCCACATGTATGTGTTCTTTTTAAAAGTATCTGTTCATGTCCTTTGCCCACTTTTTTATGGAGTTGTCTTTTTCTTGTAAATTTGTGTAAGTTCCTTATAGATGTTGAATATTAGACCTTTGTCGGGTGCAGAATTTTCAAAAATATTCTCCCATTCTGTAGGTTGTCTGTTTAGTCTGATGATAGTTTCTTTTGTTGTACAGAAGCTCTTTAGGTTAATTAGATCCCATCTGTCAAGTTTTGCTTTTGTTGCAATTGCTTTTTGTGTCTTCTTCATGAAATCTTTGCCCATGCCTATGTCTTGAATGGTATTGCCTAGGTCATCTTCCAGGGTTTTTATAGTTTTGAGTTTTACATTAAAGAATTTAATCCATCTTGAGTTAATTTTTATATATTGTGTAAGGAAGGGGTCCAGTTTCAATTGTCTACTTATGGCTAGCCCGGAATCCAATGGTGTGCTTTCAATAATAGAATACATCAATGTTTGTAAAAAGTGAATTATGGAACTGTTTCCTCTACCTCATGGGTATTTCAAGGAAAAAAATTAATGACAGGTATTAATAGTAGTGTGAGTTTTAAAACAGTTTTTGTGCAGTGTGTCTATTTTCCAGTGTCAGGGAAAATGTTATGAAGTTCTAGAATTAAATATGTTGCACAAATGTGCTGAGTCCATTTACATTTTATGGAATAATTTCATTTGTTCTGCACTAGATGGCTGGCAGAGAAATTGAACAATGTTTGGTGATGTTAAGGTTGTAATTTTATCAGCAACAGAATTAGGAAACATAAATATAAATCTGGAAATAAAATATGTTGTGTGCTATCTTTGGCTACTCTAGAGGCTAGAATATACTTCATCACCACTTGCCAGTGGACTTTTCCTTGGAAGTCAGTTGTCATTCTGGCAAGTTTCTTTTCATCCTAAATTGTGTTAACATTTAAAGGGGAAATATGAAGGTCATAAAGAAATATATTTTAATGTAACTACCTAAAGGAAAAGAAGTTATTACATGAAAAAGACACATGCACATGCATGTTTATAGCAGTACAATTCACAATTGCAAAAATATGGAACCAACCTAAATGCCCACCAACCAACAAGTGGATAAAAAAAATGTGATATATATTCATCATGGTATGCTACTCAGCCATAAAACAGAATAAATAATGGCATTTGCAGCAACTTAGATGAAGCTGGAGATCGTTATTCTATGTGAAGTAATTCAGGAATGGAAAACTAAATATCATAAATTCTCACTTATAAGTGGGAGCTGAGCTATGAGGATGCAAAGGCTTAAAAATGATATGATGGACTTTGGGGACTTAAGGGGGAGGGTGACGGGGAAATTAGGGATAAAAGACTACATATTGGGTACAGTGTACTCTGCTTGAGTGATGGGTGCACCAAAATCTCAGAAATCATCACTAAATAACTTAGTCATGTAACCAAAACCACCTGTTCCTTAAAAACTATTGCAATAAAATTTTTGCAAAACAAATATATTTTAAAGACAATTTTAAAAATTACAATAATAAGAACATGGAAACAATACAAAAATGTGGAACGTATAAAGTGTTGGCTGGGCGCAGTAGCTCATGCCTGTAATCACAGCGCTTTGGAAGGCCAAGGCAGGTGGATCATCCGAGGTCAGGAGTTCAAGACCAGCCTGGCCAACATGGTGAAAGCCAATGTTATATCTCTACTAATAATACAAAAGAAATTAGCTGGGCGTGGTAGCAGGCACCTGTAGTCCTTGCTACTCAGGAGGCTGAGGCAGGAGAATCGCTTGAACTTGGGTGATGGAAGTTGCAGTGAGCCAAGATCGTGCCATTGCACTCCAGCCTGAATAACAAGAGCAAAACTCCATCTCTAAATAAATAAATAAAATATCTTCCACAATTGGAATATATTCTTCCATATCTTCTCCTATGCCTTTATGTTATTACTAAATACAATATATACATATATGTGGGGATCACTCCCGTGTGAGGCTCCTAGGAAATGGGCCTCACCATATGGTGAGCTTGAGCCTGGACACAGATCCCCAGTTGGGGGAGTTGAGCTGAGGGAAAGCAGGAACCGAGAGAGGGATTATGCTATTCAAAATAATTAACAGACATTACTTTATGGACATGAGGACTTGGGAGGCATTGTGTCCACTTTTGGTTCCTTATGGTTTATTGCTTCATTGTGTTCATTTTTGGATCCTTGCTACATTAGTTGTAAAATATTAACTTCAGTATTTACAATTGTTAAGTATTTACTGGGCATAACTTACTTACCTTGTGACTTAACTTCAGTATTTACAATTGTTAAGTATTTACTGGGCGTAACTTACTTACCTTGTGACTTCTAGATAATTGAAGATTGTTATCCGAGTTACTGGTTGTTCTGATAATATTGATACTCAGCATCACCTACTTCACCCTTGACCTTTTAAATCAGTATCTGTTCCTTTTTCTAGTTCCCCAGAATTGTTTTCTGTTTCTTTTGTTATTTAAGAAATGCTTTGATCTGATGTAAACAACATTAAGTAGAAAAGTATATAATGGAACCTACTGCACAAATAAAATTGCTGCTTGGGCATAGCCTAATCAGTCCTCCAGACCCTGCTCTTTTCTTTCTCCTTTTTTTCCACGCACGCTCTGTTCCAGGTTTGGGACCCTTTTGCTGGACGAGATTCCCGGGCTCGCGTTCAGTTCACAATACATCTATGTATGCTGTAGGATACACTGTCTCTGATATTCTGTGACTTTGATTCCTAACCTCAACAATGTATCATCTCATCAGTACAGATAGTCCTATCTCATTTTTTTCCCCAAAGGCTATAGAGCATAGTACTTTATAAATGAAAAAGCAGAACCTCTGTTGATTAGCATGTATCATATATATATATTTATATATATATCAGTGTGTGTGTTTAATGCATACTTATTTTAAATTATATGATTATTAGCTGTACAGAATTTTAAAAATTGATACATTGTAACTTTACATATTTATGGGGTAAGGTTTGATGTTTCAATACATGTATATTTTGTATAATGTTCAAATCAAGGTAGTTAGCATGTCCCTTGCCTCGTGCATTTATAATTTATTTATGTTGGGAACATTTAGAAACATTCTTCTAGCTATTTTGTAATAGATAACACCTTACTGATAACCATAGTCACCCTACTGCACAACAGAACACTATGGGTTTTTTTTTCCATGTAGACAGGTCTTTGCCTTATTCTAAGCAAAGATTGCCCCAGAGACCATCTTATTTTTTTTTCCCAGCAGTTTCTTTTTGAAGTTTTTTAGTGATTGTGAATTTAATTTCAAACAGTATGTGAAGGACTTCGCTGATTTATTTATTAACTTTAGACACTAAGTGAGTAAAGCAGGACTGTACTGCAAGGAGATGCTAAACTCTTGATATTCTCAAGAGAAAAGTTTTACAAATTTCAGAATTCCCCTGATTTATGCATGCCTCTCTGTCACTTAATTATGCTTATAAATTTCTGCTTACCTAGCACTGGGATTCTCAACTTGGAAAGAAAAGAGTATGCTACCACTGCAGCCTATCAGAAGAAAGTATCAGAATCTTTGGGAAAACCTTTTCAAAATATGCATATCTTCCTTCCTACCCCCAAGTGGAACATGCTTACCTGATTGAAAATCACTGTATGTAATTAGTTGTTACTAATTGGAATGTAACTAGTTGGGAGTGTGTTGTACAGATAGTGTAAAAGCAAACAGCAACAACAAACCTGTCAAAGTTAAGTATTTTATGTACATAAGCTTAAGGCATTTAAGTGGTGAAGAGGTTTTTTATTTTTCAGGTTAAGGGGCATTGTCTTAAATCTCATTTTCTGTTTATCCCATTATTTCATTATTGGCCCTAGGAGAGGACTCTCCTTTATGAAATTCGCTTTACAAGAGTTCTTGTGTAAGCATTAATGAGTAGAGACTAACAAAACAGAGTAGGGATGTGGATGCCAAAGCATGGATAGGCTCACTGCTGAGATGACTGTCTTCCGCGTTGTGGACAAGGGCAAGTCAAATTTGTATCCAGCAAAATCACTATCACGGGGCCTTCAGTTCACCATAGTAGTTGAAACTCTGAGCACTCACTCTGTGAATATCTAACCAAATCTATCTTCTTTTGTATCCTTAAACCAGGTAGAAAACTTTTAGAGGGTATGTGATTCTGTTTATTTGAAGAATACCTTACTGGGTCCAGTGGATACTAAAAATGATGATGACAAGGACATGCTTGTCTGGAGGGTTGGTTCCACAATACTTTGAGCCTTCTCTATAGCACCTGAGGGTAAGTCAAAAGTCTAAGAGGAGAAGTTCTAATGGAGTTCTTTCTCTGACTGTTTCATCTGCAGACTGCAGCTGAATATGTAAAATCTCGACTCCCAGAGGCCCTTAAACAACATCTTCAGGACTATGAAAAAGACAAAGAAAATAGTGTATTGTCTTACCAGACCATCCTTGAACAGCAGATTTTGTCAATTGACCGAGAAATGCTAGAAAAATTGACTGTATCCTATGATGAAGCAGGTATGTTTGTCCTTAAAACACACAATTTTTTTCTCCTTGCAAAAAATTTTATTATAAATGTTGGTTAAACTTGGGTCTTTTCTGAGGTCAAAGGTCAGGGGCAAACTGGATTCAGAGTTATGTAACGTGAACTAATAAATTCCTTCTCTGCAATTTTAGTATCAAGACAGAAGAGTCTTAAAAATGAATCTTAAATATCAAATACCTTTAAAATTTTGCTCTTTCTTATTGGGATTCTTTTGTGGTTTGTTTTTGGCCTTTTATTAACCGAGTACTCCTAAAGTGTTGTTCAACTTTGGATAGCAACTGAAAACTTTTATATCTGATAATCCAAGAAATGTTATTCAATGCAAGTACTTATGTTAATTTTAGATATTTTTTCTAAAGAGTTTTTTTTTCTCAAGCTGTTAAGCTAATCAATACTTTCTTTTCCTTTGCAACTCAGACAGTACCACATCAGAGACTTCATCTTACTGCCTGCCATAAGTTCTTCCCATCCAAGGGAGCTTATTAATGAAGTCATGGACACACCTCCTTATAACATTATTTTAATCTATTATGTAGTCTGTCAGCTAAAACCAAATTTTAATGAAATGAGAATAGTATTACTTGGAATTTTTAAAATCTTTAATAAAATTAAACTTAAGCAGCAGGAATACCCTATTAAAATTACTATACCTCTCCATCTCTCCCTCTCAAAAAAATTGAGGAAAAAGTACAGGAAAAAAGGTTTCTAATGGTCAAATGTTAATGTTATTAATTATTTTATTAATGCCAAAACTTCTGTTTTTATTTTTACAAGGATTTTTTTTTAGCATGCATCTTATTCTCTTCATCAGAATCTGTGCATGCTTAATATTTGCTTACCATTTGATTTCAAATTAAAATAGCAAACAGAGGAGCAAATTAATATAAAAAAAAGTTATACTGCATTATACTTACCACTTAGACAAATTTCTAGTTACTAAGCTGCCTCCATGTATATTCCACCCTCTAACGCTTCACCTCCCTCTCAAGCAGGATCTGTATTTCCAGTTTTGTCCAGGACATGCCTGCTTTCTCTGATTCTTCTTTGCTTTCTTCATTTTCCAGACACATTGGCTTTCTTCTGCCTAGCACTTCTGTTACTTTCAGTATTCTTCTCATTGGAATTCCTATTCACCTCTTTTCTCATCCTTAATGGCATAAAGTAAGGTTTTGATCAGTCCCAATCAAAATAATATTTAAATATTCAGCGCATCTTATAGATCATAGAACTCATACTTAGTTGTAAAACTGGGATGCCAACTTCCTGATTACTAATCAAGCTATGCAGGTTCTCATTTGCCCAGTAAGCAATTGTTGAATCCATGGCAATATACTGGGTAGTTGGAGAAAAGAGAAAAGCAGTGAAGACATGGAAAGGAATCTGAGATGTATAAATAGCTCTTGCTTAAAGTCTTGCTAGGGAGCTAAAACATACATGTATGAATTCTAGAGAAAAATTCCTGAAGAATTTGGGACTAAATATACCCTGTAATATCTTCAAGTTATTAAAGCTAAGCTGAACTGTGGTGTCAAGAAATAGTGGAAATGGCTGAAATTTTCCATGAAATTCTGCAGAGGAGGACATTATTTTAAACCTTGAAGGACAAATGGTGGGCATGTATTTGTGAAGAGAAGAGGGATGCATTCTAGTGGATGAAGGGGCACAAGTAGACATCAAGGTGAGGATGAACGTTAGCTGCAATCACCCACCACTCAATGTTTTCCTGCTTCAGGAATAATTTTCCACTCCTGCATTGTTGTTGAGCAGCTACTGATACACTTGCACATGGCTTTTAGGGGCAAATAGTTTGTCATAGAATTAATCTGTCAGTAAGCCTTGTAGAGTGTAACAGTGGAAATAAGCACATTATTGAAATTTACAGGATCTGGGGTCTAGGCCTTCCCCCAGCTTACTACTGGTTTGATCTTCAGGAAATTAACCTTTTAGAACCTATGTTTTTTCATCTGCAAAACTGGGCTAATATAATCTCACAGGGCTATTATCATAATAAAATATTATGTTTGGGGAAGTCCTTGGAGATCATATTGCAAATGCTAATTAATGCCACAAGTGATTAATGAAAACAGATTTGGGCCTTGTCTCTTGCTTAAACCAATGTAAAGTACAACTGACCCTTGCACAACATGGGGGTTATAGATGCCAACTCTCCATGCAGTTGAAAATTAACATAAAACTTTTGATTCCCCCAAAATCTTAACTACCAGTAGCCTACTGTTGACCATAAGCCTTACTGATTACATAAACAGTTAATACATATTTTATATGTTATATGTATTTATACTGTATTCTTACAATTAAGTAAGCTGGGGAAAAATTGTATGAAATTCATAAGAAAGAGAAAATATGCTTACTATTTATTAAATGGAAGTGGATCATCATAAAGGTCTTCATTCTCATCGTCTTTACTTTGAGTAGGCTGAACAGGCTGCTGAAGAGGAGGAGCTGGTCTTTCTGTCTCAGGGGTGTCAGAGACAGAAGAAAATGTGCATATAAGTGGACCCATGCAGTTAAACCTATGTTGTTCAAGGGTCAGCTGTACTCTAACTTAGACTTTTCTTGACATGTGGTGTTTGGGGAGGCAGAACAGAAGATTTTAAAGTGATCTTCAGAAGCTTTGAGAGGTCTAGCACTATCTATTTGTTAAAACACCCACTCTGGGCTCAGTTTGCCTTTGGCCATCTCTGCATGAGGTGATGAAGGGTAGTGGATGAGGGAAAGTAGGCTATGTGTATGCATGAGTGAATGAATGAGTGTCGTTGTGTGTTGTAAAATCAAAAGTCACTACCTCCTCTTCCTGAAATGTTAATTATTTCAATCAAAGAAAGAGGATAAAATTAGAAAAGATATTACTATTTAGCAGAAAATATTTCATAATAATACAAAAGAATTGGGATAGAGAATTGGTAGTGGTATCCAATAGGTGCAGATATAACCATCTTATACAGAAGCTTCCTGACTTAGGATGTTTTAATTTAGTGTTTTTTGACTTTATGATGGTACAAAAGTGATACACATCCAGTAAAATCTGTACTTCAAGTACACCCATTCTGTTTTTCATTTTCTGTACAGTATTTACTAAATTACATGAGATTTAACACTTTATTCACTTTATTATAAAATGGACTTTGTATTAGATGACTTTGTCCAACTACAGGCTAATGTAAGTGATCTGAGCATATATAAGTTAGGCTAAACTAAGATGTGATATTCAGTAGGTTAGGTGTATTAAACGAATTTTCAGCTTGAGTATTTTCAATTTACAGTGGGTTTATCAGGACGTAATCTCATTGTAAGTCAAGGAGCATCTGCACTAAGACACTCATTTGCTTCAACTGTTTAGCTTTTTTCTATGCTATCTTAGTTTTGACTTCCTCACATTCTTAATTCAGCTCTCCCAGTTCTAGGAAGTAATTATTAGTTAGACGATAACTTGGTCTCTAGAGAGGTTAATCATTCACTGATAAATCAGCCTGAGTGACTTAACGACAACTACTGCTATTTGTGGCATCTAAACTTCTATTAATAAAAAACCAATTAATGAAAAAAGCCACTTAGATATTTTTCTAAAATCATTGGCTCAGAAGTTTTTCACCCTCTCCCTTTTTTTCTTTCTTTCTCTTTCTTCCCCTTTAATATGTGTATACCTTAATGCTTTGCCCATCCACAAAATTCAGCTATCCAGCAACCTCAAATTTATTGAACAAGTGGGAATTGAGCAAAAACCATGTGTGTGCAACCCCACCATGTCACAGAATTGTGGACAAGTCCATACAACAGAGGATTTTGATTCTCACCTGGAATCTATATATTTTTAGTTTGTATAGTTCTGATTAACTAGGTTATATTTTCCAATGTGATATTTCCTTTTATAAAATTCTTTTTCTGACTTAAAGTGTTACACTTTAATTGCAGAAATAAACAGAAATATGTAGAACAATATAATATGAGAGTAATAATTGTCAGTAATCTTACTATGGTAAACACTTTGGTATATTTTCCTCACTCTAAGCATTTTTAAAATGTGGTTGGTATCTGGTAGTTTTATTGTAATTTTATGTCCTGCTTTTTGCATTTTACATTACTACATAAGCACTTCCTCATTTCATTAAAGCCTCTTCATGTGAAGATGATTTTAATGGCTACATCATATTCTAAAATACCACTCACTAAATATTTTCTTATGTTGTGCATTTTCATTTTAGTTTCATTATTGTTTTGCTCTGATGATTAATGCCGCAAGAAATATGAAGTTCATTTGTCTGCATTTTATATTACTCTAGAGGATAGACTTCAGAAAACAAGAGTTTAGAATTAAAATGAGAAGGTAGGGAAGGGATGACACTTGGAGCAGTGACACTGAGAACAGTAAGTAATGAGAGCAAAGAGTAAATCTGTAAAAAGCACTTGGCAGATTCCTGACATTACACTACACTCAGAGTCATACTATCATTCACAGACTGTATTATAGAAGTGACATTGTTATTTTCATAATGGTGATCTTGATTCACATAGAAAAGGTTCAATAATGTTTATTATATTCTGTATATAAAAGCAGGAATTATGTAAACCAGTGTATTAATTCAGTCAGCCTGTGTAGGGTTTGGCTGTGTCCCCACCCAAATCTCATTTTGAATTATAGTTCTGATAATCCCGTTGGGTTGTGGGAGGGACCAGGTGGGAGGTAATTGAATCATGGGATGGGTTTTTTTTGTGCTGTTTTTGTGGTAGTGAATGTCTTATGAGATGTGCTGGTTTTATAAAGGGAAGTTCCCTTGCACATGCTCTTCTTCTGTGCCGCCATGTAAGACATGTTTTGCTCCTCTTTCACCTTTTACAATGATTGTGAGACCTCCCCAGCCATGTGGGACTGTGAATCTATTAAACCTCTTTTTCTTCGTAAATTACCTAGTCTTGGGTATTTCTTCATAGCAGTATGAAAATGCACTAATAC